GTCACGGGGCAGCCGTGTGACAACGGGCAAGTCATTATCCGCCCTGTTCCCTCACTTGTTAGAGCAGATAATAATTATAACTAACCTGAAGGCGGTGATGAGGATTAAACATAAGTAAAGACTTAGGACAGTACTTGGCGTTAGTAGCCCATCAATAAATGTTAAATAGCATTATTATCCTCCATCATTCAAAATGTAGCTCGCATCTCGCCTTACCCAGGACGCCTTTCCCCAAACACTGGAGTCCCCCCCGCCTCCCACCACCATTCCTGGGTTCCTCTAAGAGCCACTTCTGGACCGTGCAGCCCAGCACCGGCAGTTTGCTTTTCTTGGGCTCCCAAAACTCATGGCCCGATCCAGGGCAGTTCCTGGGTATGCTCATCGCTGTGACTCAGTGGGCAGAAGCCTGGAGGCATGGCATTGTGTATGGGGACTCTGACAAACAGCTAACACGGCGAGCGTGAAGACTCGCCTCGGCACAGAAACCGGAACGGAATGTTTTAGCAGCTTTCTTCACAACAGCCCCCAGCTGGAGACAACCCAGCTGTCCTTCAACAAGTGAGCGGTTAAACTGGTCCATCCACACTGCAAACACTCCTCAGCAGTACGAAGCGTGGACTCTTGGGTCACAAAACAACCCGGTGGAATCTCCGGTGAATTATGCTGGGGGAAAACAGGCAATCCTTGAAGGTTCCATACTTTAGGGTTCCAGTGACACGCGTTTCTCGAAATAGCAAAAGTATGGAAACGAGGACAGGTTAAGGTTGTCAGGGCTCCAGGAGGGGGTGAGGGCAGGACAGTGGCGCAGCCTGAGCGGCCGACGGTGATGGAAGCACCCGGTACCCCGACAGCGTCAGCGTCGGCATCCTCGCTGTGACATGGTGTGCACGGTGGTGCGACATGTTGCCATTGGAGAAAACTGGGTAAAAGGCGCAGGGCGTCTCTCTCTATCATTTGTTACAACTGCATAGTCTACAATTATCTCAAAATCAAATGGTTATTTTAAACAAAACCACTTAAGGTGTTCCTGACAGAGGCAGAAAGAGTGGCCTGCGTGGCCCACTCATGGGGACAGGGCAGACCTCTTCTGGAAGGGTTTTACTTTTTAGTAACGGAGTTTGTCAATTGTACTTTAACATTTTTGGGTTTATTACATTTATTCCTTCAAGTATAATTATAGCAGCGTTGAGTCATATTAAGTGACGGTGTTGTCTACCTCAACGATTTGCAGTCACTGCGCTACAAGAATGTTTAAAACGTGCGACACTTGACTCTACAGTCAGGGGCACTGACCTCTTTTCCTGTAGATTGTCAAATAAAAAAAAAAACACGACAACACAACATGTCACACAACATGCCTGTGTGAATGAATAAAAATTGTACCTATGTTTTGTCAGATTTTGTGTCGTCTGTTTTTGGCGTGCTGCAGAATTTTAGTAAGTCGTTTGCGTGTGCCCTGAGATGAAAAAGCCTGAAAACTGCTGGTCTCATACATTAAGATTCACATTGCTTTCTCAGTTGGGAGACGTACAATAACTTAGAGGTGATCTTTTCTTCTCTCTTTGTAAAATCTTAATTTATTTATTTTTAGAAAGAGGGGAAGGGAAGGAGAAAGGGAGAGTGACACTGGCGGGGGAGGGAACCCGCAACCCAGGCATGCGCCCCGGCTGGGGCTTAAACCGGTGACCTTTCACTTGGGGGGACGATGCCCAACCCGCTGAGCCACGCCCCTCAAGGCAGAGGTGATTTTTTCCAATTGTCTCGCTTCACAGATTCGGGAGGGCAGAGGGGACCCAACGTTGGCAGCTAATGAACAGAGCTGACAAGAGCTAGAACGCTGTCGCCCAGGACCTAGCCCTGTGCTTCTGACACACTCCGGCGTAACTGGCGTATCTAGAAGAATATCCGGAATTACTCTGGTTCCCAAGCTTCGTTCTTGAGGCGGCTCATTGCCAGCCAGCAGCGGTGCCTCTGCTTCGTTACCGGGTGGGTGGCGGCTGCAGGTGCGGAAGGCCACCGTCCGAGAAGGGCACGGACCAGGCAGGGGCACGGGCTCATCCTAGAAGCACATCAGAGGACCCAAGTGGGAACGAGGAGACTAACACTTGGAGAGCTGGCAAGAAAGAATGAAAGAAAAAGAGAGAGGGAGGGAGGAAGGGAGGGGGATAGCTGAGAGCAGAGCCGGGGTGAGAACCAGCTCTCCAGGCCAGAGCAGGGCTTCTCTGATGGGCCACCTCAGAAATGGCCGCCCCAGGGTGAGAGTTTTATTTCTGGTCAGCCAGTGGCGCCTGTTTATTTCATCACTAAGAGGGAAACCAATCTAGGACGGCGAAATAGGAACATAATTTCCCAGAACACCAATCACCACCCTGGGCCTCCGGGCAGGGTCCCTCCTTGCTGCCCTTCTGCCTCAGTCTATTCATGCAACAGGAGGTTGGACTCCAGCAGAGACCACGCAGCTTTTGTTCGGATCTTTCTGGGCAGACGGAACACACCAACAACTAAAATCAGGTTTACAAAATAAGATTTCTACCGAATCGTCATTGAAGCCAGCTAAGCAGCTACAAATGTGAAACAGACTGGGATAATTTCCCTAGCTTATTAAATTGGCCACTGCTTCCCCGTGAGTGGGGGAGATGCTGGCTGCAGGGAAAAGATGTAGGAAAGCAGAGTAAAAATTCTGCTTTTCGGGAGACCTTTCGTACGCTGCACAAACAGCTCCCACTGCCAGATGAGTCAGAATTTCCGAATGGCATAATTCTAGGGCCTTCTTGCGGTTCCCTCTCTGGGCCACTTCTGAAAGGGAGGCCTTGGGGTGGGGTTTCCTGTGCTCAATTCCACAGATGACAGAGGGGCTCCCCGCGACTTTGCCAGAATTCTCTTCCAGATAAGTTTTTGTTTCCACTCCTTTCTCTGGCAGCGAGTAGTGCTGGAGCCGAACTGAAGTCTTGATGGTCTTCCTGGTTGCGAACGCCCCCATTCTCCCGTGCTGCTTCCTCCTTTTCCCTCTGGATGAACTCGTTTGGAGTGACAAAAGGCTGCCATGTCATTGGTTAAAAAACAGTCCAGTTTTCATATTAAGCTTAAGAAAAACAATGGATGAGTGTTCTGAAAAGCATCAACCTTTTTAAAACTAAAGATAATAATGATAGCAATAAATCTAGTAATAGCTGCATGTTATTTTGTGGTTTATAAAATAATTTTATCACATATATTCTCACCTATGAAATATTATTGTTATCCTTCTTGAGCAGATAAGGAAACCAAGGCTCTAAGAGGTCACATGGCTTGCTAAGGCTCACGCAGTTGAGAGTGGAGCTGGGCCTGGAATCAGGGCCTCTCAGCCCTGAAACCGGAGCTTGTGGTCGCGGGACCAGCGAGAGGGACGGTTCATCTCTGTGCACCAACACTGCCCTGTGCAGGTCTCAGACCCTTGGACACAGACTCATTGCACTGTGGCCTCCCTGGGGGTGGCAGTCTGCGCCACGTTCTTCTCCACATGCCCAGGGACTAGCACATAGTAGGTTCCCAGGAACTGTTTGATGAAAGTCTGAATAGCTGGCTGTCTGCCAGAAACTGTAGTAATCACACTGTACCCAGAACAGCTCACAGTACCAAGCATGAAACCATTGAAGGTGGGTTACTATTATTACACCCATTTAACAGAAGAGGAAACCAAGGATGAGTAATGAGCTCAAAGCTGCACACTCCAGCAGTTTGACACTTGACCTCGAGCTCTTTACCTCCAACTGCACCAAACGGACAGCCGGTCAAGGGCAAGAATGGGAGAGGCCCTTTGTGTATATTGCCTGTGATCCTCACATAATTATAACTTAAAAAATGGGTAATAAATTCAGAGGCTGACGCTGGCACTTCAGTTTAGTGTTAGCCCTAGGCTTTGTTGTCCTTCTACCTTCCTACAATGTGGAAAAGACACGCATGTGCCTCATCTGTTTTACAGTTTAATCTTTCAGGACCCTGATTTCTACTCCAATTTATCCAGCATACCTTGATAAAGGGCCTGCGAGCCTCTATAAGAAACGAAAGAGGAAAAACACCCTCCGGGAAGTATGAGACCCGGGCAGGCGATTTCACTCCTCAAGCCCAGTTTCCTTTTCCCCACCTTCGGAGTGGGCGTAGCCACACCTGAACTGTGAAGACCGGTCCACCTGGTACGGAGCTCTACAAAGCTCTACAAAGTTCTTCCTTAGCGGCTGCCATCCCCATCCAGGGGAGGCGGAACCAGTCGTGCAAACGTGCAATTACTGGGACAAAGACCAGGGCTGGCGCGGAGGGCAGTTCAAAGAGCTTGAACGCGCGGGGAGCGCCGAGGTCAGGCGGTAGACGAGGTTAAGGAGCTGGCGCGTTCGGAGTCGCGGGATGGAGCTAGAGGACTGGCCGGAGGATGTGTCTGCGGGGGCAGGGGGCGCAGGGGTGGGGGGACGGCGGAGGCACATTATTGGGCCTTAGGTTTGTGGGAGGTTCAGACGAGGCGTGAGATTCACATTCTTTGGGCTCGTTCCCAGTCGCCTCCCTTCCTCAGCATCCTGGGGGCTCCCACCCGAGCCTGCGGCCCAGAGGTCCCGTGCGTGGTGGCTCCGGGCACTTGGGGTCAGAGGGGCTGAGTGGCTCTCCCCCACTGTCCGGCTGACTGAGAGCTGTCGCCTCCTTCTTGGACTCGAGCCTCCGAGAGGGGTGCCCCCGCCTGTGCCCCGACCTGGGCCCTGAGTGTGCAGTCCTGCCAGTCCCCTCGTCCTCCCTCCAAGGCCAGACGCGCAGAGGAACTCTCTCCCTAGAATCAACTTTCCCGGGAGAGGATGAGACCCGGGCGGCGGCAGGCGGCCCGGTCCCCGTGGCGCGGTCCCGGCGGCTCCGGTGTCGGTCCCCTACTGGACTGGGCGGGGCGGGGGCCAGAGTCCGGGCCCCGCCCCGGCCCCGCCCTGGCCCCGCCCGGGCCCGGAGCCGCCCAGGACGCGGGGGGCGGAGGGCGGCTCAGCGCACACAGCCGGCGACTCCGCGCGGACTGCCCGCGGCGCCCCGCTCCAGCAGGTCCTGGGCCGGGTAAGTGGTGCGCGGCCGGGCGCCGGGACGGGGACGGGCCGGGGGTCGAGGCCTCAGCCCCTGACTCAGCCGGGGCGCGTCTCCCGGGTGTCAGGGGCCCCGAAAGTCGAGGAGACCAGAGGAAGCGTGTGCGGCGCGGGGGCGGGGGCCCTGGAGTGACAGCTGCCGGCGGGCGGGTATTTTTAGTTTAAACCCAGCCGTTCCCTGCCGCCTGCGAAATCCCAGAGCCTTCCGGTCCCCAACTCCGGAGGTTTAGCCCCCAACAAAAAGCCCCTAAACCCCGGGCAGCGCGTCCGTGGCCGCCGGGGCGCCGCCTCCAACCGTGGTTCTGCCTCCGCTTGGGAGAAACGGACCTGTCACCGCGGGCTCCCGTGGACAGTAAACGCGGGCAGAAATCCCGCTCCCGGCGGCCACGAGCTAGCTCCCTGGCGCCCGAGAGAGCCCAGCGCCCAACGTGGGGTGGCCTGCCTTGGCGTTCAGACACCGCCTGGCTGTGAGGCTCCGGGCGAGCCGCTCAGCCTCTCGGAGCCACTCTTCCAAGGGAGGCCAGTAGTGCGGCCAGAGACCGCTCGTGCGGCCTGGAGGAGCTCCCACGTGGATGCTGACTCCTCCTGGGGTCTTCCCATCCTGACCCCAGACAGTGGGCCTGGTGGTGGCTGTGGCCCCGTGGTCAGTCCAGGAGCAGTGGGTGCCGCCCACCGCCCAGCGGCCCTCTGCTCCAAAGCTCGAAGGCAGGGCACTCCAGCTGGGGTGGGGTGACGATCAATGTTATTATTTTATCCCTTTGGCCCTGAAGCTCTAGCCCAGGGCTGCCTTGGCACACTCTGCCTGGTTCCTGGTTTCTTTCACCTCCGAAGGCTTCACTTCCTTCAGGCACTAATTAGGGCTGCCAGTGGAGGGGGGCGACATGCCCAGGGGACGTGGCCCATCCCACCTGGATGAGACCCTGGGGAGAAGTGACTGTCCTCCCAGAAAAGGGAGCATGCCACAAAAATCCCTGTCCTTCTAAACTTGGCGGGACAGCCTTCTTCCATCACAGGGAGGAGGCAGGCCCTGGGAGAGGGAGTGATTTGCCCAGAGCCACACAGCCAAGAACTGAACCTGACTCTTGAAGGGCCCTGCCCTGCCTCCTGTGTGGCTGGGGCAGCCAACAGGCCCCAGGGTTCAGGGGCTGGAGGGTGGAGAGGTGCGCCGGTGCCAACAGCCTGTTTTGCTCCACTTCCTGCAGCCGTGCCCCAGTGGGGTTCTCTGACACGTGTGGGTCTGCGCATTCCTCAGGCAGGACCGCGCGGGGCAGGCCAGCAGCCGCAGCTGTGCCAAGCCTGCTGGCCCCCGGAGCAGAGCGCGTTCTCCGCCAGAGAGGCCCCTCTGAGGGCAGCTGGGGCGGGGAGCGGGCCGGGACGCTTATTTCACGGACCCCTGCCTTGCTGGGGATCATAAGGGGGAGTCCTGAGGATGTTCTGGTGGCACCGAGGGGAGGAGAGGGGTGAGACCCCGCGTTCAGGGTTCTGCCTCAGGGTGCCGGCTGGCCTCAGGCCCGGATGGCACTGTCAGGGTGGGTGAGAGCGCCTTCCATCTCCACGAGAACTGCTGTCAAGCCCAGGTGCTTTGCTTGTTGTCCTGAAGCTGTGGACTTGGCGTTCCTGGGCAGTCCCTCCACCTCCCCAGGCTGAAACCTGGGGGAGAGGGGGAAGGGGTGGCTGGGAGGTCCTGGCTTGGCTGCAGGGCAGCCAGCACAGCCTCCAAAGCCCCCTGGGGCCCCTGGGAGCCCAGAGGGCCCAGGGCCTCCCTAGTCACCAGCTGTTGGACGGGGGTGGCTAAGGCAGGATACCTGGGTCCGCGCTGGCCACAGCCCCTGCCGAGCCGCATGACCCTGGGGACATTGCTTTACCTTTCAGAGCTTCAGTTTTCTTCCCAAGACAGGGGGATCACTGTGGCATCTGCAGCATAGGGTGCCAGGCGCTTCAGACCACACAGCCCACCAACAGCTTGTGTGTGGTGTCAGACACAGCACCTGTAAGCCGTTGTCACAGTTTGGGGTGACGGAGCCTGGCCGGGACACCTGAGTTCCTTTCCCCTCAGCTCAGCCCTTTCCTTCTCTGCCTTGATGTTCCCGTGCCTATCAGATGAAGAGTGGCCTTGAGTCACCTCCCTCATAGCCCCTCCCACACGGGAAGCTGGTCCTTGACCCAGGCAGAGAGATCCAAGGGGCCCAGGGGATGCCGCGTGGCGGCTCTGGGCCCCTTCTCAGCACTTCCTGTCTCGCCTCTGTGAGCCTGACAGCCAGCAGGGCTGCGTCGACCAGCTGCAGGTGAGGAGAGCGAGTCGCAGGCAGGCGTGGCGGAGGCAGGGCTTGAGCCCCGGGTCCCCTCCTTCCACACAGGGGCCGCCCAGAGGGTGCCAGGACAGAGTCCCCGTTAATCGTCGGGAGGGCAGCATCCTGGTCATCATTAACGCATTGGCATTTGCTGGAAAACATGGCTTCCAAACATTTCTCTCCCTGTGGCATCTGCGAGTAGCCGAGAGTCACCCAGAGAGGATCCTGGGAGGGGCAGATGGAAGTCTGGAAAGTGTCTGCTGACCCCCCGCCCGGCCACCCTGCCGCAGCCCCTGAGGGTCTTTGCTTTACAATCTGGGGATGATGCTCCTGGGGGCGAGCGGCTCGCATGCTGATGGCGGCAGCCCTGGCAGCCGAAGCCTTGGTCTCGTTACCTCTAAAATAGAGATAAGGGCCCCCAGCGCCTGCTGTGTGTGGTTGAGAGGAAAAATGAGACCACTGGGCACAGCGCTCAGCAGGACGCCCGGCACGGCAGGGGCACGCCGTGGTCAGGCATCATCGTGGTCTCTATTATCCCCGTCCGTCCTTGTAGTGGGATTGTAACAACTGTGACAACAGGGTGCCACCCGCGCCTCTCGCCTGGGTTTCCAGGCTGCAGACTCTGAAATGTTTAGAAACACATGGCAGAGAGCTGCTGAGGAAATGATGAAGCTCCGTACGTTAATAATGAGTTGTGTAGGGATATGTACCTGAGAAATAAAATGATGGCAGGACACAGGAACGGCGTTGCCTTCAAGGCTGATGTCGCCGTGGCAGCGGGAGGAGGCTGGGACTGGCAGCCTCAGGAGGGGCGGTTACTAAGGGATTCACTGTGCAGTTATTTGTACTTATAAGTACACCTATGTTTTATGCACACCTCTACACATGGATCCTGTTTCACGGATTTAAGCAGGTTTTAAATAAACGGTAAGGGAGTGATAATGCCAGATCAGGGTGGTCGTCTTGGGAGGGCGGGAGGCTAGAGGAGCAGCAGGAAGCCTGGGCCAGTCTGTGGGCTCCGTTGTGCTGTGCTGCTCTGAGAGGTGGGCTCACGGGTCTTATTTTAAAATATCCTTATGCTGCATCATTTACAAATAGGAAACATATATATATACACACACACACATTACATACAGTGTTCATAGGCGTTATATGTATTTCATTATATACAATGTTTGTAAACATTGTGTGTATTCCATTATATATAATGTTTATAAACGTTGTATATATTCCATTATATATATATATATGTATGTCAAATCTTATGAATAAAATTAAAAGATAATATGGAACGTGTTCACAAAGCTCTCTTAGAAAATCACTCTACCCACAGATTCAAACGTTAATCTGGCTGGATTTAAAAACTCAAAGAAACAAATCCTGTTGTGTGACAGACACGTGATTTTTCACTCGGGAGAAGTACCATAATCTCCCTCTTCTGAAGTCATACAACAAGAAGACATTAACGCCTGAGAGCTCAGCTTCTCAATGGGACTTTTTTTTAAGTCCTGGCCTAATGATTTATGCTTCTGAATCAGAAGATTCTGGCATGTCTGAGCTGGGAGGAGCCTCAGGTGTCCTGGACCAACCTGATGGTTTTACAGCGAGGGAAGTGCCCCGCCAAGGACAGCAACACGCAGGTAGCTTCTGGGCCGCCCCACCCGGTGAGTCTCATCAGGACACGCCGTGCCACTCCTGTGACGAGGCCACGGCTTCCTCCTTGGGACAGGCAGGGAAATGGGTGAGATCGCGGAGATTAAACCGAGGCGATCATTTCCATTTTAAAAGGTCAGAAGAGGGCTACCACCTACGCTGACCGCGCGCACTTCTCGAACGAACTTGAGCAGGAACGTTGTGAAAGGAACAATACAGGCAGGGCCTAGGACCTCCTTTTCTGCCCGGGGCCCCCTAGGACAGGGGCTGACTCCCCTCCTGCTCTTTGCTGGGCAGGCTCGATACATTTATAAGTTAGCAAAGTGACTTGTGCTGTGGGGGGTAGTTACACCCACTTTTCAGCTGGGGAAACAGGTTCAGAGAGGTTAAATGCCTTCCCCAGCTCAGATCAGGAGTGCGGGAGCAGTACTTTCGCCCAGAGGGGGAGCTGACAGATGAGAAACCGCCTCAGGTCAGCTCCACTGGGAACACCTGCTGCACTCCCCAGAAGCGGCAGCTCCCGTGGCTCAGCCCAGCCTGGCAGCTCTGGCTCCCAGGACGTGCTAATGTTGAGGGTAAGACGGTGGCTTCCTCCAAGCTGTCAGATCATAGTACAAGGCCCTTATGGCTGATGACCCTCAGTGCCACGCCTCCCTCCTGACTGAGCGTGCTCTGTGACGCAGGCAGCCGTGCGCCGAGAACGGGGGAGCCTATCCCTTTTGGGGCTCTGGTGCTTTCTGGGTTCGACTGGATTCCTGGCCACCTTCTCTTTGCCCAAATCAGAAGTGTTCTCCAGCCCCTCCCTCTGCCGAGGTACCTGTCACAGGGCTCAGAGAGCGGGCGTCCCAGGGCTGATGGCTCAGGGGGCGGCTTTGCTGATGTGCGGTGGGCACGGTGGCAGCGGTTGTCCCCCGCATGCATGCTCACCGGGCAGCGGAGCCCTGAGGCCCCGCACAGCCCTGTGAACAGTCTCCCATCTGTCTGATGGGGCGGCAATACCCACTGCAGCGCTGGGCTTCCGTGAGAGCCC